TGGTTTTTTTGGCAGGTTTTTCTTTTTTTGAAAAGTTTCTTTATATAAAAGATTAAAAAATGGATGATATATTTTAATTCGCAATTCGTGATAAACGGAAAGGATCGACATACATTTTTAATAGTACAGTCAAGTATTTTACCAAATTTGGAAATCGATTCTAGAAAAATTGGAAACCCCTTGTTGATCAATTCATATATGTTACAAACGATTTAACGTGACATGTTGTGCTTTGTGAAAAATAAAATTTTTAAATAATAATAATAACAATAATAATTGAAATAAGTGCTTCTGAATATATATTTTAAGAATCCACTGGGATCCACACAACCTTACATACTAGTTTTTTTTTTATACATAGGAGACATATTGACTAAAACATATCTCTTTTTTTTTTTTACAAAGTTGATTCTATAATTTTTAATTCTAACAGTTAGTTATGGCGAATGTTAGACCACTAGCTAAGACCTTACCATGTTTGTATGAAGATATTGCAAACAAATATCCAAGAAGCCAGTTGACATTATGTGATAATGATCTAGAAAAACGATGGAAACATGTGTCAGCACCAGCATCAGTTGAACACGCATCTCTCATTGCTAAGTATTTTCCAGAATTATCATTTGATTCATTAGAAAATTACTCAGTTTGTCAAAAACATTATAATCAAATAGTTGCTAAAGATATTTTTATTGAGAAATTACAAAAGGACAATATTATATATAGAGGTAATTCTATATATCACTTAATATTAAGAAGGTAACAAATGGGTGATTTTAACATCACTAAATTTTGATCCTGAAATTCTTGGCAATACCAATATTCGTTCACTTTGGTTTTTTTTGCAGTATGCCCCATATTAATGCAGAATTCTGAGGTAAATCTTTACTAACATAAGTTACGATTGACACGAATAAAATTGGTGTCTACGACTAACTGCTTGCACTCGATATTCGTGACCATGTATATAGACCACGTGACACAGAAGACCATCATGTAATTGGTCACCAAAATTTGAGCCCTGAAATTTTGAATGTTTACTTTGTCTTGTTGCTCTTGTTGCATATAAAAAAAATGCATTTCACTCAAATATTGGTGTCACATCTATTCATTATCAAATTAATATAATTAAAAAATATTACAAAATTTAAAAGCACACACACTAAAAAAATCACTAACCTGTTGTACCATAACCAATATCGATCACTAGACCAGTAATGCTATTACAGCCATAAAGTGACATCAATGCATTACTTGTTATATAAAGACCTGGAACATTAAATGATTCAAAAAAAATATGTGCAATTTTTTCTAAACATTCTTTGTTCCAACTATCAGGAATTGATAACAATACTGGGCATTCATTACGAGATCGTTTGACCTTTAATTCTTTCAAAAGCAAATGACGCCTTTTTTGATTGGAAGAAAATTTAATATATGTAATTGCATATACATACATATATATGTGTGTGTGTGTGTTTATTATTGATTTATTAAAACTAACCATAATATTTCTAATTGATCCCAATCTTCAACTTTTCCACGTTTAATTGGAAAAGAAATAATGATATCATTGTTTTCATTAATTTGTTCA